TGATGCCTTGCTTGATGTTTTGATCAAACACGGGGATAAATACCATGAATTGCTATGTCAGATTGTAGGAAACAGATTGTTCAAAGTTCGGTTTGCTACAAAGGGAGACGTGGATGAACCAAATATAGAAGGTGCTGTTAAAGAACCAAATATAGAAGGTGCTGTTAAAGAACCAAATATGAGTGATGCATTGAATCTGTTCGATCAAATGCTTGAACCGGATATTGTATTTTGGAACAGCATCATCACTAGTCTTGCTGAGGTAAATATCAATTTCCGCTCCACACCAAGGTAAACACCATTAGTCCTTGAGCTATTTATTAGCTTGGAATTAAATAATATTTTTGCATATACTGTTTATGTTCTCTACCCGCCAAGTTCAAGAATGTCATATAGCCAATACATAGATACAATATGAAGCACCTATTTTTCTTAATGCTTCCAATTGCTCACGGAAATGGTCTAGGCAAACATCCCTAGTATTGGCACCTGAAATATAAATATTATTATTTTTACTAACTTTATCTTCCAAGTGTTTATATGATGTGGTGCAATGACAACCCTTGTACATGAAGATGGTTCAGCAAACCATGCAAGATGCAGACCGATCATGTGATTAGTTCAACACTTGGTGCTGTTTCAAGTAGTGCAATGTTCCTGCGTTCAATGGCTCACGAGCATAAAGCTATGACTTGTAAGAGAAGGAAGGCACGCGGAACCCACTAGAAGAAATCAATTTCTTCACATGTTCAACAGATGCACATAGCGGGTCTTAAAACAGATGCTAAGAACTTTGGTAGAGGCAAGGACAGTTGCTAGCACCGGTCATTTTAGGGTCCTCTCCCGTCATTCAAGATATCGATCCAGAAAATACAAGATAGTGAGAATCTGAAGGAGCAGGATCGAAATTCATGGTCGGTTTCATTATATGAAAAAGGCATGTGCACACAAGACAAGGAAAGTTAGCTCTTGTGCAACCATAGTATCACGAAGAACATCATTTAAGATTACGAATGGAATACACAAGGCTGGACTCAGGTAACTTGTATTGCAATACTTCTATTATAAATATGCTTGTAAGCATTCTCCGATGACCAGCTAGACATCAAGGTCTAACGAGGCACATCCTCAACCTAAGGAAAATGATCCTCATATGCTTGAGTGCCAGAAAGGAAAAATATGGGCAATGCCCTCGATATTGCCTAGTTAAAACAACTCGGCCAAAAAGCCGCCAAGTTCAGAAGAAAGAAAGAAAGAGAAGTATCAAATATTCAAAATACAAAATTAAGAAAAGACCCCGACTGAGGAGATCGACATTGTTCCGGATGGCCCAAACACTAAAGCGGCCCAACTACCCAGGCCCAATACCGGGCGTGAACCCGCGTCAGCCCTAAGGGCTGACATGGACCCCCTCAACCCCCAACGTAGCAGCAGGTCCAAGACATACACCAAAATGTCCCATCTTGGAACGCTAGCCATCGAAGGCGACTACCAGAGACACCGCAAAGGGAAACTCCCCCTTTGCCCGGTGCTGACACCGCCAGAACACAGAGGGCGCAACACTGCCACAATGACAGCGCCAGCACGCCTAACACTGCATCATGGGAGTAAATCCCAAGGAGAGTTGACCTCCCCCTCACCAACCCACACCATTTCCCCTATAAATAGCCCCCATGGGCACACCTTAGAGGTATCTTATGTATCGTTATATTGCCCATTTACTTGAGTCATATCGTCCTTTTGCTTATTATCTATTCACTGCTTACGCTTGGCTTTATACTTCTTAGCCTGGTCTGTATCAGTGCTAAGGGTATTATCCATACATTGACTCATCCCCATCGGGAACACAGTGGGCTTATAGATCTCATCGGTACATTGGCGCCGTCTGTGGGAATCTATAAACTTCTATTCCCATTCTCCTACCAAAGATCCACAAGACGTGTTTCACGTTTTGGTAACAAACATGGTTGTCACAACCAGAAGAGCGGAACAAACCAGGGCCGTTACTCCTGACGGTCATGTACAAACAATACATTCAAATTCCTCGCCATCGATGCATTCAGCCCCAGCCGAGAGACCCCCCGGCGAGATACTCCAACCAGTATTACAACCCGTCGGTCCACAGATGCTAGCAGTCGAACCCAGAGTAGCACAGTTGAACTATCACGCACCTATGCGTGAAATGCAAGGAGAAAACTTGGTACAAGACCAACCCCCGCCCCCAGGAGTTCGTTTTGGAATGCCTTTCCACACTACTGCCCCACCAGTCATTCCCATCCCACGAGCCATCGTCCACTACCAGCCCAAAGTCTACCAGCAACGATTACCGAGCACCGATGGTCACCCCGTTCCCTATGGGACCATACGCCCCTTTCCCTCAACATTACCTGACTGGTTTTCCTTTCCATGGTTACGCTGCCCAACCCCAGAATCCGGCCATCCCACTGCACCAAGTGTCCTATCAAAACCAGGGTCAACTACCATATGTCGCCCAACAGCCCTTCAATCACGCCCCGGCCCTCTCTTACTCCGTTGAAGCCCCTCAACCACAAACAGACCGGCCCGCCCGAAACCACAATATACGAGTCACGCCAGCTCATACGTCAGGGCGCAACAAACCCCTGACTGATATCCTCCGGTTAACTCCCATACCCCTTGGTTTTAAAGGACCCTCCAATATCGCCACATATGTCGGAGATGCCGATCCTTTTGAGTGGATCCAGAAATTTGAGGCAGCAATGACTCTCCATGGCGAAACAGACCTCCTTATGTGCAGGACCTTCCCCACGCTACTTGAGGGGCGAGCTTTAACATGGTACACCACCCTACCGACTGGTAGTATCGCTTCATGGGACGAGTTGACGAGCAAGTTTTAGTCTCACTTTGCAACCAGTCGCCCTGTGCCAAAATCTGTCCACTCCCTAGAAAAAATACGCCAACAGCCAGGCGAGTCCCTCAGGTCCTTTTTAGACCGCTTTGATAAAGAGGCCCTGCAGGTGCAAGGCCTGGACCCAAAGGTACAGGTACATATACTTCTTTCGGGCTTGCGACAGGGTGCGTTCGCGTACGAACTCGCCCGCCATGAAATCACTGACCTGGAAGAAGTCAAGAAGGTGGCCCAAGAGTACATGCGAATCGAAGAGTACAAAGGAAGCCGAGTTGATGACGCCCACAGTCAAGAAAAGGCGGTCAGTAAACAGAAGAACCAAATGGAAGAAAGTAAGAAAGGAAGCAAGCCAGCCAAATATTCAAACCACCCTTCGGGGCGCGACACATCAGGTCGTCAGACACACGCCGTCCTACAAACAGAATATAAGGAAGAATCCAAGAGCACCCAGCAGCCTCAGAACCCGCCTAAAGAAAACATCATGTACTGCAAGTTCCATCGCAGCAACGGTCATAACACTGAGCAATGCAGGCACCTCAAAGACGAAATTGATGAACTCATCAATAGCGGAGCGCAGAGGCGAGGAGGAGACGGTCCACGCCCTTCTGGAACAGGAAGGCGATATCGTGAGCGCAGCAAATCGCCTGAAAGAAGAAGAACGAATCAATCTGGCGCCAGACCCTTCTATAACCGTGACAGGAGAAAAGATTCCCCCAGGAATCGCAGAGCGCAAGCAAGCCCAGATCGCAGAGGGAGGCGTGAAGAAGTGGAAGAAGACTCAGCCGCGGTAAAGCACAGAGTGATAAACATGATCTCAGGCGGACTGAGTGGAGGAGGAGAAACGGCGAACGCCAGAAAGAAACACTTGAAGCAGTGTCTGGCGGTTGCTGGCAGAGTCATTAGCAAAGTAAAGAACAACCCTGGTCCAACCAGGCCTCAAATTGTTTGGGACAGCAGCGATTTGGGCAATATCCTCCCAGGACATGACGATCCGCTCGTCATTCAAGCAATAATCGCCAACTTCGGCGTGAATCGCGTTTTTATTGACCACGGCAGCTCCGCCGACATTTTGTTTTTACCATGCTTTAAAGCATTAGGGTTTACTGTTAATAGTTTAACTCCTGTTACAGGTGAACTCTCAGGTTTCAATGCTACCACCACAAAGCCACTGGGAGTGATTACCTTGCGACTTTCCCTTGGAATGCCACCCACCTCACGATCCGCAGACATCCAGTTTTTGGTGCTCGACACCCCATCAACTTTTAACGCCATTCTTGGTAGAAGGATGTTCGCTGCCTTCGAGGCAAGCATCTCGCACCCTCACTTGGCAATGAAGTTCGTTGCCCGGGATAACAAAGTCGCCACGGTGCAGGGAGATCAGACGGTAGCCCGAAGCTGCTACAACATATCCTTGAGGCCAATGGCCAAAGCTAGTTTCAATGATGAAATGACGCCCAAACAGAGGGCAACCTCGCCAGCCGAAAGAAACCCAGGCGAGGAGACAAAGGAGCGTGACCAATGTTTTTTGGTAGAATTTGATGCCAGGGATGATCCGCGCGTGGAACATGACAGACCCACGCCTGATGGAGCATTAGAACATGTTGTATTAGGCGATGCGGATCATCAAACGACAACCATCGGGGCTACCATCGACCCCGAAATAAAATGCAAGTTAATCAAGTTACTAAAAGATAACAAAGATTTGTTCGCATGGAAACCTTCTGACATGCCGGGTATCAATCCAGACGTTTGCTGCCCCCGTTTGTCGGTGGACCCCAGAGGCAAGCCAGTCGCCCAGAAAAAGAGGAAATTCGGCCTCGACCGCCAGAGGGTGATTGATGAAGAAGTCAAAAGGCTCCACGTCGCCGGGTTCATCAGGGAAATCAAGTACACAACTTGGTTATCCAACCCAGTATTGGTTAAAAAACCAAACGGCGCATGGAGAATGTGCGTTGACTACACCGACCTAAACAAAGTCTGCCCAAAGGATGCTTACCCTTTTCCTAGCATTGACCAGTTGGTCGACAACGCATCCAGATTCAAAATGATGTTATTCATGGTCGCATATTCTGGTTATAATTAGATTCCGCTGCTTGAAGAAGACCAAGACAAAATGGCGTTCATCACTCAGAACGCCAATTACTGTTATACAATGATGCCCTTCGGTCTAAAGAATGCTGGGGCCACTTACCAAAGGATGATGAATGAAGTATTCAGAGACCTGATTGGCAATTGCATCGAAGTATACATCGATGACATGATCGCTAAATCAAGAACGTCGGAACAACATTTGATTGACCTTCAAGGCGTATTTGAAAGACTCAGAAAATTCAACATGCGCCTGAATCCCAGCAAATGCGCCTTCGGCGTTCCCGCAGGCAAATTCCTAGGCTTTATGCTCACTGAGCGAGGCATTGAGGTCAATCCTGACAAATGCAAGGCGGTGATTGAAATGCGAAGCCCGCAAACAATCAAAGAAGTTCAGCAGCTGACGGGAAGGTTAGTAGCTCTCACTCGTTTTTTGGCCAATTCGGCTCACAAATCGCTCCCTCTTTTTAGCCTACTCAAAAAAGGAACCGCCTTTCGGTGGTCAGAAGAATGTGAAAACGCCTTCCAGGAATTCAAAAGGGCGCTCTCTTGCCCACCGGTACTTGCCAAACCAGACAATGGAGAAATGCTGTATTTATATCTCGCCGTAGGTACCAAGGCGATCAGTGTAGCCCTTGTCAAAGAAGCAAAGGAAGGACAAAAGCCTGTCTATTTCATTAGCAAGGTTCTACAAGGGGCAGAGCTTCGATACCAACAGGTGGAAAAGGTAGCTTTAACACTTATCTTTGTCGCGCGGCGATTAAGACCGTATTTCCAGTGCCATCCAATCACCGTCAGGACCAACCAACCAATTCGCCAAGTCCTGCACAAACCTGACTTGGCTGGAAGGATGATGTCTTGGGCGATTGAGCTGTCCGAGTATCAAATCACCTATGAGCCTAGAACCGCCATCAAGGCTCAAGCACTCACTGACTTCATTGCAGAAATGACACAACATTCCCCGCCCAAGAACCAAGCCATGGTAACGCCGTTATCAGAAGTATGGAAACTATACGTAGATGGCTCGTCAAACGCCAAAGGCTCCGGTGCAGGGATGATAATAGAAAATCTGGATGGCGTGGCTATCGAACATTCTTTGTCGTTTGATTTCAACACCACAAATAACCAGGCGGAATATGAGGCCATGATAGCTGGTCTGATCCAAGCAAAGGAAATGGGGGCCCAACGCCTCAAAGTCTTTAGTGATTCCCAACTGGTGACATTTCAGATCTCCTGCGAGTACCAAGCCAAAGGACCACTGATGTGCAAATACTTAGAAAAAGTCAGAGAGCTAATTGAAGGTTTTGAAAGTGTTGAGGTGGAGCATATCCGGCGTACTGAAAACACCCGGGCGGACATTCTTTCCAAGCTGGCAAGCACTAAAAGCCCAGGCAACAAATGTTCTATAGTCCAGCAGAGCATGCCAAACCCATGCATAGTCATGAATATCTCAGAGACAGCCCCTGGAGCCACTGAAGAAACCTGGATCACGCCCATTGTCAATTACTTAGCTGAAGGGGCCGTGCCTCCCGACCAAAAAGATGCTAGAAAGATAATTCGCAGAAGCGACCACTTCTGCATAGTACAAGGGCGGTTGTACAAGCGAGGACTTTCAACCCCACTCTTGAAATGTTTGAATCCCAGAGATGTTCCATACGTGTTAGAAGAAATCCATGAAGGAATCAACGGCCACCACATGGGCGGTCACTCACTAGCAAAGAAGGCGTTGAGAGCTGGATTTTATTGGCCAACCATTGAACGTGACGCCCATGAACACGTCAAAAAGTGCGAAAAATGTCAGAAGTTCGCCGACATACATAGAGCACCGCCAGAAGAGTTAACATCAATCACCTCACCGTGGCCCTTCTACAAGTGGGGCATCGACATTCTGGGTCCTTCCCCTATGGCAGCTGGGCGGGTTCAATGGCTGATTGTCGCTATTGACTATTTTACCAAGTGGGTAGAAGCAGAACCCTTGGCGACTATAACATCTCAAAAAGCAAGAAGGTTCTTCTGGAGAAGCAACATTTACCGTTTTGGCATTCCCGGGGAAGTCATTACGGATAACGGCACTCAATTCACCGATGCCAAATTCTGCGAATTAATGAGCAGTCTGCACATACGACACCACTTTGCTGCCGTAGAACACCCACAATCCAACGGTTTGGTGGAGTCAGCCAACAAAATGCTGGGGAAAGGAATTAAAAACAAGCTTGAAGCACACAAAGGGGCCTGGATTGACAACCTTGACAACGTCCTATGGGGGTACAGGGCGACCGCCCAATCATCCACAATAGAAACTCCGTTCAGGCTGACTTACGACACTGAAGCCATGATCCCAGTAGAAATCGGTGAACCCTCCTGGCGGCGAGAGCACGTAACCGAGATCGACAACACCCAAAATTTGAAAGAAGCACTAGACCTGCTAGACGAACTCAGAAGGTCTGCCGCTGAGTCTGATCGCCATTCAAAAGAAAAATCAGCTACTTACTACAATAAGAAGGTCATCCCCCGGAGTTTTCAAGAAAAAGATTTGGTGCTTCGAAGAACAGACGTAGGAAACAAAAACGCTCGCGAAGGAAAGCTCGCCCCAACATGGGAAGGACCTTACAGGATAATCAACAAGCTAGGTCAAGGAGCCTACTCCCTGGAAACACTAGAAGGAAAGGCGCTACTGAGGGCTTGGAACGCCGATAAGCTCAAAAAATATTATAGTTAAGTTATCATGTAACAACTCCTGCACTTTTTTCCTTTCCTAGGCTTTTATCCCAAAGGGTTTTGCTGGGAAAGGTTTTTAACGAGGCAGAGTTTTGAATTTTCAATAAAAAGATCGCCAATTCAATTTAACACTGTCAAATAATGTGACCAACTACGGTAC